CAGGCGAGTTCGGCGCGGTGGTCGAGGGGCAGCTGCACCGCGACGGCACCGTGCTCAAGGTGGCCGTGAAGACCATGAAGAGTGAGTGCCCCCCATGCTCCCCTGCCAGGCCCAGGGGCGGGGCTATGCCCAGGCTCCGCCCCCAGTGAGTCATGCCCCCAGATGATGGGACTCCACCCCCATGTGCCACACCCCTCCATAGCCCTGCTCCTGCTGGCAGTGAGTCCACCCTGTGGTGCTGTGACCCCACCCCTTGAGTGCCAGAAACCAAATGGCCCTGCCCCCTAGCGGCTCTCACTCCGCCCCTATGGGTGGTGGCTCCCTGCCATGTGCCGCAGCTTCGTCTTCTTTCTGCCACGCCCTGAGCAGCTGCCTTCCAGGACTGTGGCCCCGCCCCTTGTGTGCCGCAGCCCCACCCCCCAGGTTGCAACTCCGCCCCCTATGTGCTCTGATTCCACTTCCTACATGCCACATCCTGGGGGGGTGCCTCTATATGCTGTGGCCTCGCCCCTGCATGCCGTGGCTCCACCCCCAAAGGCTCTGACTCCACCCCCAGGTGCCTGCACCTCTGTAGGCTGCCCTGCCTCTTGCCCTGTAACCCCGCCCTCCGCAGGCTGTGCCTCTGGTGGCCCCGCCCCCTGGACCTTGACCCCGGCCCCTGTGCCCACAGTTGCCATCTGCACGCGCAGCGAGCTGGAGGACTTCCTGAGCGAGGCCGTTTGCATGAAGGACTTCGACCACCCCAACGTCATGACGCTGATTGGTGGGGCCTGGCGCCACAGGGGTTAACGGGGCCCCTCACTCCCGACCCGCAGCCCAGCCCATCCGCCCTGGGAGCCGCTCGTGGCCTGGGAGGGGGCGAATGGAATGGGCAGAAGATGCCGGCGTCCCCCCGGGAGCCGGGGAGGGAGGCTGGGGCGGGAGGGGCTGGCAGAGAGCCCGTGAGATGGGCCACGTGTCACCCACGATGCCCTGGGAACATGGACGGGAAGGGGGGGGCTGCGGTCTGCAGGGGCAGGCGGGGCAGGGCTGCCCTGGGAAAGCATCGCTGGGCCCTGCGGGGGGGGGTGGAGGGGGCTGGA